TTTATTCAGTCATATGGGGTTATTTAAACGAATTCATCAAATTTCCTAAAATATAAATATTCAATAAATATTTCACAACGTGCAACACATGCTAATAGTGAAAGTAACAAAAATTAAACGTTCCTTTGACAAGCATTATAATATGAATTAAATGTGAAAAAAAAGTAATCTATATCTATTAATATACTAAATATCACATCAAGTGAGAATCATTTTCTAGACGATTCTAGTCCTGCTATAATTCAATTATTTCAATAATACTTTATTTTTTGTTTTTCAATATGTATTTAATTTAGTTAACTATTTAGTTACCGTCAATGTACATTTACATTTGACAGATTTATTTCACGTGTGATTTTATTAATATATGAATTCCTTATTATTAATTCTCAGTTAATTAACATTCACATTCTTTCATGCATTCCAATTTTATTAATTCTAATTGTAAGTTAATTAGGATTTTATATTTAAGAATATTGAATACATTTCATTATTCACGTCCACGTTTGCTAATTAACATCCAATTTTACTTAATTGGAATTAATAAATATCACATCAAGCGAAAAATAATTTTTTTTGGAAGATTGTAGCCATATCGTAATTCAATTATTTCAATAACACCTTACTTTTCGTTTTCTAATATGTATTTAATTTATTTAACTATTTAGTTAGCATCAATGTACATGTATTTTGATAAATTTATTTCACTTGTGTCCTTGCATGAACGTATGAATCCCCTATTATTAACTCTCAATTAATTAACATTTCATATAATTAATATTGATCTTCATTTATATATTTCAGTGTTATTAGTTCTAATTATAAAGTAATTAGAATGTTACATTGAAGAATGTATTTCATTATTCACGTTCATGTATGTTATTTAACATCCAATTTTACTTCATTGCAAATTAAATAAATGATTTAACATCTGTCACATATACATTCTCTGGTATTAATTATAAATTAATTAACATTCACGCATATTCAAATATTACTTTTACATCACTTATAAAGTATTTCATAATGACGTGCAATGTACGTTTCAACGTTGACCATTTTAACTGGAAGTTCTCACAAATTCACCAAACAAAAAACTTTTGAATCAAAATGTATTTATTCCATATTTGCCCATGACCAACAGTGATTAAACTTTTTGTTACTCAATTAAGAAATGGGAACAACTTGAAACTGTTAATTCAAAAAAACATAAAATGTTCAACTGGCCATGCGATCAAAACACACACACTAAATCAAACATGGAGAAAGCATTAGAATGATCTTTCAAAATTGTCAAAATTTGGGACCTTATGTTGTACTAGAAGCATTTTTCTATTGGAACCATCCACACGGAACCTTAGGTTCTAGCATAGGAGAGGATCGACAGGCTCAATAGCTAATTCTAAAGAAAAATAAATAAATAAAATTGTCAAAGTATGGGACCCTATATTGTAAATAAAGCTAACTCTAAAATCAGAAATTATTCATCTACAAAAGGCCTCGACCTATATATTAATTTATATACAACCTCAGAATAATAGGGTGTACAAATGCTAGTAGTCACTCAACTCAAGAGAAGTTTTATGGTAGTCAACGAACTTTATTGTATTTTAAGATAGTCACTGCATTTTTCTTTTCGTTTAAGATTTCTTACTCATTAAAATTCCATTAATTTTTCTAACAGAATGTCGAGATGGCAAAAGAAATATGATGTGGTGTCAATGTTGAGGTCTTCCATGTCTAATACTCCGTTAGAAAAATTAAAGAAATATAATTGAGTGACAAAACTAAGATAAAAAGCAAAATCCCGTGAGCGGTTTGAAGGAAAATAAAGTTTGTTGACTAACGTGAATCTTCGATAAAAGTTTAGTGACTATACTAACATCTTTTAGACCTTTACCCTATTATTTTGAGATGGTATGTATAGGTCGAGACTTTTTTATAGAAGATTATTGTAATTTGAACTTTAGGGTTAGCCCACATAATGTCCCAAACTTTGACAATTTAAAAGACAGTATTAATTTCACGTTAATACTTTCTCAATGTTTGAATTTGCGTGTCTGTATTGAGCATTTTATATTTCTGTTGAAATAATAGTTTCAAGTTGTTTATATTTCTTAATTGATTGACAAAAGGTTTGATCATTGTTGGTCGTGGACCAACATATCGATATTACCTACCAAATAAAAGGCCTATTCAGTTGGTCGTGGACCATCTAATTCTTCGGAAATGATCAATTGTTGTGGAATAAATCAAGTTTGATTTAAAAGTTGTTTATTTATTGAATTTCTGAGAAGTTTTTTTAGGCATATTAATAGTTTTTTCACGTTTAATTCATATTTGTTACTCAAAATGTCATGTTTTAATCTAGACGGGGAATGGATTAAAATACTTTTCTTTCATTTTTTAATTTTTTTTCACTTCCTGTTGTAACTTGTAATTGAGTTTATTTATTTGCAATGTCGAAATGTAACTTTCTAAAATTCTATGTTGTAACTTTTAAGCATAAATTGCAATTACAAAAATTTAACAATTTATCTCTAACTCATCCCCAAGAATTTGGAAGTTTTGCCAAAAAGGAAAAAAGAAAAAAAAAAAAAAAAAAAAGAAAAACAAAAAAAAAACGGAGTATTTCAATTTGTGATTTTATCTCTATCTTCAATATTTCTCTTTCATTTTTCTTCTAAGAACCTTAAAGCCACGTTCAATTATAAATTTCTTTTACGAAAAAAACATTAATATTTTTCTTGGTTTAATCTGTTATTGTTTTCTCTTTAATACGTTCCTTCCCAGTTTTCCCCTCTTCTTCTCATTGTTCCCCCACTTCTTTATGAAAAATATCAATTTAAATTAAAATTCTTCTATAATTTATTTAAATAAATTTTATCAGGTTCTCCTTTTTAATGAAAAAGTTGATTAATTTGTAATTAAATTCCTATGTGGAAAAGTTATTTTTTTCTTTTATCATAGTAAGCATTGGTACCTTTTGTTTAATTTCTGGTGTGGAGTTAGTTTCTACTACAATTTTTTTGTTTACTTAGGGTCTATATAGAGTAATATTTTGATGATTATACACAAATATTAAATAAGAATCTATGAAAGTCAATAAATTTTTATAAACTCCACAAAAATCAACCACATAAAAAGTCTATAAACATTTAAAAGTCTAAATTAAATGCACATGTCTAAACATATCATCTTATAAATTGGTCTATATTTTCATCTTTATTCGATGTGAAATTTTATCACTTAATATGCTTCCACAAGATGGTGGCTCGTTTGAGCAGACCAATCTTGAAATCCTTGTACTCAATTTTTTTTTTTTGAGTCTTAATCGAATCGAATTGTTCGTTGGAGATTAATGGGCTCTGATACCATATTAAGAATTAGAGTTCTATTTTAAAATGTCAATCTTATTAAGAGGAGTAACCCAAATTCTTATAAATTGGTCTATGTTTTCATCTTTATTCGATGTGAGATTTTATCCCTTAACACTTATTATGCTTAACAAATATTATTCACCTTTAAACATGAGCCTCTGCTTTGTAAAAAAGGTTATTATGCTTATTGTTTAAATAAAGTTAAACAAAAGAAAGCTGGAAAAAATAGTTCTTACAAGGATTATTATCCAATAACGTTGAATCTTGGAAAATGTTCTGTTTTATCGACAGAAATTTGGTTCCACATAGCACTTAAGTTGTCGTTCTAAGCATTGCTTCCCAAGTTGACATGTCGTTGCTAATTTATATCATTTAATTTCTATCACTTTTGGTTTAGAAGAACCATTGGATCTTTACATGATTGATACGTGGAATGATTAAATTATTTATTAGACTATGTAACCCTACCCATTTAAGAATTTTTAACAATAATTTTGTACGGAAACGTTAGATACGACGAATTTCCTATAAAATCACAAGTGCTTAAACCATCCCATCCAAAAAAATAAAAAAATAATAATTAGTGGAACTCAGATGCCAGTANTTGATTAAAATTAATAATCGATTTTGGCATGAAGTTTCTTGAAATTTTTAAGCCACACAGGATGAAAGGATTTCTCGAGCCAGGCACGCCATCTTCCTCTCTTTTGAGCAGCAACCTTCGACCTTGCTTCACTCATTTGTGGGTTGATTTGCTTCTTGCACAAAACAAAGTTCCTTACTCCGCTCGATCCTATCGACTCCGTTGGATAAAGAGCTGAAACCAAGCCTTTGAATGATTATAAATTGTTGTGCAAAAGTAGAGACTAGGGCGGATTCCGATCTCACTTAAGACCGTCCACTAAGTACTTCAAAGTAGGCTCCTATTTATATGAGCATAAAATGGATTTGCCTATAATTTATATGAGTGTGGGACTCAAATTAATCCGAACTAACCAAACACTAATTCTTATTCTTTAGAGATTGTCTTCAAAGCAACAAAACAATGCTAAGTTAAAAAAAAAATTATGCTTGTGATTGTAGAAAAATAAATTTGAGAAAAGAGCTGTGTTTAATTGTACCGTCCAATCCAGCATTGGCAGGGTAGAGAAAGAAACTACTGACATCAGAACCAAGAATTGGCAAGCGTCCCTCGCGAGCATATATTTTTAAAGCAGTCTCAACCACTGCTGCAGCATTCTCATCTTCATTCACAACAAATCTTATTGGCCCTGCACTCCCAAATACATTAATAATAATCAAGAATCTATTTCTCTTCTTTTTGGAAACCGATTTCTTCATTCTCATATCCATATTTCGGATTTTCTTTTACGCAATTATAAAAAAAGATATTTAAGAAAATTAAGCTGATGAAAATGATATCTTGTCGTGAATTTTGTTCAAGGATCAAGGCCGATGCCACGATTATACTAGGCTTGTTTATGAGAACCAAAGGATGAAGTGAGGAAGCACGAAAAGGGTTACGACTATGCAAATGATCAGGCGCAGAAGAAGATGAAGTAGGAAGCATGAAAAAAACTGATGGTTGCCACCATTCAAGCCGTGATTTTGAGATGGATTCTGCAGAAGGAAGAAATTGTTACTCGTTTTTCAGAGAGATAGAGAGAGAGAGCGAGTGAGCGAGTTCTTCAAGTTTTATGTATTGGTGCTGTTCATGCGAAGAAATTATTAGGACAAGTAGTATATTTATAAATGAATGGGGTAAGATGTTAGAGTAATGTTATTCATCCTCACTGGGGATGAAAACACAGTTTACATGGCGTTAATGTGGCATTAAATGATAGGTGAAATTAAATAAGTCATTTAATTTCACATTTCATTTAACCTATCATTTAAAACCATATAGACTGTGTTTTCATCTCCACTAAGGATGAATAACATTACTCAAGATGTTAGGTACTAGGTAGTTTCAATTGGGAAAAATGGGTGATGTGTATGTAGATAAATCATCAATTAACGTAACAATTTTAAATAACATGAAAAGACAATTCAATAATAACATAAAAATAAAATATAAGCAGAAAGTGTTGGGAAAGCAAGTCTTAAGGAGTCACATTAAGGACGCTATCCTAAAATTGGGTTGTCTCCCTTTCGTGCGAGTACTTTCGGCACTATACGACTCTAAGATAATACTCATATAACTCACAGTGGGTTCTCCTTCTATGGACACGACCACAAGGAGATAAAGAACGAGACTTTATCGAATTGTCAAAAGTATAGAAATATAGTATGAAAATATATAGAGAACAATCCTCTAACTTGTGTTTTTCAAGTTGTATCTCAAGTTGCACGCAAACTATAAAATCTCCCTTTTTATACTGTAAAACTTAACTTCTACACTAATGAGAATTATACCAATTAAAAATGTATGTTACACTCTAATATTATAAGATTTAATTTTATGTTGAAAGTTAATATTAAAAATCAAAACTGAAAAATAATATTTGTTGTGGAAGTTTAAAACTTTTCAAAAATGTTACAACAATCCCCCACAAGTTTTAAACTTTCAAAATATATAACTATTTATATAATAGTGGCAACATAATACTATGCAATAGGTGTAGGTGTCTTTTGGACTTGAACATCACTTAGTTATAACAATTTTCATTTGAGAGAGCCATAATTGACTATACTTCAATTGTTCCACACACAGTATCGACTTTGGCTCTAGTTCATAGCGGGTAGCGCTCTTAATGATCACGCGCTCTAATCAGGATTCTAGTAAGAGTCTCTAAGGAATAGCCCAATCCAATAGCCACGGCCTAATGACAACTCTTACATAGGTGAGTTTTCAAAGGATGTGTGTGATCGAACACCTCGCGAGATCTCTCACCTTGGTATTCATTAAGGGTTAAACCCTTCCTCATATCACATTATTACTAACACTATCATCATATGGATGAGTACAAATAAAATAGTGCTATTACAAGTCACGCAGTTCGGGGTTCCTTTTACCACATTGCACCTTCTTCATAGGTTCTCCAATCACAAATGTTGGGTTACTCCCGAAGGTGACTCCCTTATGATCTTAAAACCATCCCCCTCGATGATTTATTATATCCATTAAGGACTTTAATTTATCATATCCCTCTTGGACAATAATTTGGTACCATCAATTTACAACTCTTCCTGCACATCTGTAAAGTCACCTAAAAACTTTTCCAAAAATGTCGATAACACATTTAATTATAATATGATAAACACATGTTTAGAAATTGACTTCTAGTAACATGTTTGAGCGGATGCATCCATTGAACTCTTCCATTTCACTGCAGGTCTACAATTTAATCTGTAACACTTCTCAAGGGTTAGTTTACAACTAGGAAAATAAAATATAAGGTATATCTATATGAAATTTCAAATACCCCCACATTCCAAAAATATATATCAAGCTTGAATTGAGCAAATATAGACCCATTGAGCTTTTGTTTCCCACCTACAATCTTCAAATTGCTCAAAAACGTTATTATCATTATAATAATTAATAGTACGGGATAAATCTCACATGAGATCTTAGTTTCATGTTTCATAATATGAACTATTGTATAACAATTTATCAGTTTACAGTCCTCCAAGGGCATAGCATGAATTATAATATGAAGATTCATCAACTTCATTGTGTAGAATTCATAACATGAAATAAAGGTTCAGATATCATTTCTTATTATACAGACTATGCACACTTAAATTGATACGAAACATTTGATAAGAGAGAAATATTATACCCGTATACATTTGCACTTACGATATGTAGCTCTTGTACAGTTAACAATTTATATTCCTGCAGCCAAATAGCATGAATGTCGACCAATAAATTGGTTTTGCTCCATTACACTCTAGTTGAGTCCTGAAATACAATCTTTTGACTTTCTCACATTATCACAAGCTAAAATATTAGTTTGTTTCCACCAGAAAACCTCATTTTGTCTCATTTTTAAAATAAATTAATGCATGACAGTTACAAAGAGACCCATGGCACTAAGCTCATGATACAATTCATAATAGTTGGTTTATACACAGCACACCAGCTCTAGAACAAATAAAATATAGGCACTAGGTTTTTCCTTCCCTTTTCAGCACTTAGAAAACAAAAGTCAGTGCTTCCATGAACATAACATATAACCTTATTCCCACATCTACCCTTGTCACTCAATTATGAGTTTCTCATAACACAAAAGTTCCCACACATCTACCCTAACACAAAAGTCAGGTGTATAACACTTTAAAGTCTTTCTACTAAAATTTCTCATAAATACAGTTACTCGAGTAAATAAATTTCAATTCACTCAAATACATGCACCCTTAATATTTCTCCCTTTAATTGGGAGGGAAAATAGGTAGAGATAAATATTAATGCAAGAGTTGAGCTAAGGGGACCCGAACCTGCTCTTGTTCTTGCTCTTGCTCTTTGGGGTTCATAATTGTCTGTGGGGTGGATATGGAATTTTTCTTTAAGCTGGCATATGTTCTCTTGTTCAAGAAGGTGGACACGTAGATGCGTATGCTTTGATAATCTAAATACATAGAGCTTGTTTGGGAGAGATTTTTGAGGAAAGAATTGATTTTGAATAGTGATATGATGGGAAATGTGTGGTTGAAAAAGAAGAAAAAATTATTGATATGATAAAAAATATTATTTTATTGAAGAATGTGTGGTTGAAAATGAGAATTGATTTATTGTAGGAAAATCTAATCCCTCCCAAATAGGGCCATAATGGGAAAAAAAATAGTTTTTATGACCTCCTGCATTTAATTTTCTTACCTAGCCTATAAACATGATGGCTGATGTCCTACCATCCACAATTAATCCATTTAAATGATAAGTTACACTCCATAATTGATATTTTTAACTTTCTATTAAAACTGAAAATTAAAAATCAAAACTGAAAGTTAAAGAAGGTTTTAATTTTAAAAAATTAAAATTTCATATTTATGTTACACTTGGTATGTAAATAAAATAATGCCGATTAGTCATGAAATTACACTTCTTTTAAAATATTATTTAAGCACATTATTGAGAGTTAAATCTTTTAACTGTTTGTTTAAAATAAAATCATGGAATTTCCATAAAATCAATATAATCCATGAATTCATGTTCATGACAAAATACTGGTTTTATTTTAACACTCTAAGATTTCAACATTTAATTTAATGCACATGAAATAATAATATACACATACATATAGTCACTTGCCCTTTAAAATTTTAACGAGACATGGACATATTTTTTAAAATCAAGGGAAGTTTTTTATGTAATAACATTCATTAAGCTTTCAGAAAGAAACATGAGAAGGAATTTTGTCGGGAAAATGTAAAAGTATGTATATTTCATTTAAATATATATGCTTCAATTGATATTAATAAAATATAATGCAGTAACGTACATTGAATCAAGATTTGCTAATCACGCCATATTTAATCTACAAGCAAATCACCTCTACACGACTTTAGATTGTTGGAAAAAATAAGTGATTTACGTGTAGATAAATCATCAATTAACATAACAATTTTAAATAACATGAAAATATAATTCCATAATAACATAAATATAAAACATAAGTAAAGAAGGTTAGGAAATCAAGTCTTAGGGAATCACATCAAGAACGTAGCTCTAAAGTCATGTTGGCCCCCTTCATGAGGGTACTTTCGACACTACAAGATTCCAAGATAAAACTCATATAACTTACAGTCGATTCTCCTTCTATTGACACGATCACAAGGAGATAAAGAACGAGCATTTATCGAATTGTCAAAAGTACAGAAATATAGTATGAAAATATATAGAGAATCCTTTAACTTGTGTATTCCAAGTTGTATCTCAAGTTGTATGCAAACTATAAAATCTCCCCTTTTATAGTGTGAAACTTAGACCCGACAATAATGAGAATTATACCAATTAAAAATGTATGTTACACTCTAGTATTATAAGATTTAATTTTATATTAAAAGTTAATAATAAAATCAAAACTGAAAAATAATATTCGTAGTGGAAGTTTAAAACTTTTTAAAAATGTTACAATAGTTTCAACATATGTTGAAAATAGACCCAACCCAGTCCCATTAAATTCTTAATAAGATTAAAAAAAAAATGTTTAAACGACTTTCTAGTTTTGATTATTTTGAAAGAGATACTCAATGAGATGTATTGTAAACAAGATTTCAGTGAGAAGCATTAAACGATCGCAGTTTCAACACAAATTGTCTGCTAATTCGATTTCCTTTCTCTTTTATTGGAAAAAAAAATTACTTCTTAGTTTTGATCCCTTCATCTATGCCAAAATTCTATTTGAAAG